AAAATCTCTATAAAATATCTGATAATTTGATGTGCATATGTCTAATGATCATTTTTGACCGCCAAATGGCTCATTTTTTTTACTTTTTCCTCCATATCTCCGAAACCGCTAGACCTACCATCATGAAAATTTTATCGATTCTTTATCTTGTTAATACAAGTAAAATGTTTTTTGAATTATTCAAATCGAACGCTCCGTTCTCTTAAAAACTGAGTTACCGTTTTCGGCACTTTTTGCCCCGTATCTTCGGAACGGCTAGAGCTGCCTTCGCCAAAAACTAATCAGCACGTCTCCTTATCAATACGAATTGAATGTTTTTTGAATTATTCAAATCGGTTGATCCGTGTTCCCGAAATCGTCGACGAAAATTTGTATCCGCACATACATACACACACGTACATACATACATACATACATACATACATACATACATACATACATACATACATACATACATACACACACACACACACACACATACATCCATTTTTTCTAAGGTATGCCAAAATATTCAGAAACCTCTGAAACGTAAAGATATATAAAAAATTTCATTTTTGATTTTTTTGCGATTACTATAACTTACCCTACGGGAAGTTAATAATTAGAAACCTCTGAAACGTAAATATATATATAAAAATTTTCATTTTTGATTTTTTTTGCGATTATTATAACTTACCCTGCGTGAAATTAAAAAGTAATCGATTCCTATTGATCGGGAAACGTGCTGATTAGTTTTTGGCAAAGACAGGTCTAGCCGTTTCGGAGATACGGTGAAAAGAATGTAGAAAATAGAAATCAAGTTTTAGAGTAAATGGTAGGTTTTGAGAGAACGAAGCATCCGATCAAAAAACTCAAAAATCATTTTGATTGTGTTGACAGTGTGAAGAAACAATCTTTAGATTAAACAAGTTTTTAAGAAAGAAACTTTTTTTCAATTTTTTTTTATTTGCGAATATCGAAAATGAATCGGATTCGAATTTTAATTCCAACTAATATGTTAAAGCTCACTTATATATTTTATATAAATAAAGTAATTTAAATTTAATAATAAAATATTAGGTAAGGTCCTTTATGTTAATTCCAGTCGATTAAGTCTTGTTAATTTTTGTTTTCGTGTAAACATATATAAATGTCGTCTAATTTATAAACTCTTATATTTTGTCTATAAAATACGACAAATGAAAGTTTTGTAGTAGTATGTATAATAATCTATTTGCAAACATTTGAAATTTCTCGAATATTTAATTACGGTACGGGAAGTTCCAGCAATTTGCCTTAAGGCGCAATATCATGCACCATTGGTTATCATTTTGTTGATTTTATTGACACATAATAATGACAATAATAAACTACTATTTGTAGTTCTTGGTATTACTGAAATAATTATGAATATACAATGACAATAAAATCTTTACCATTATCAGCTATTAAAGAATACAATAGATTATTTCTATTGATTCTATATATAAATATAATATATTTCAATAGATATCAATAGATATTTCTATAGATTATTTGGAGTATGTATAATAATATTCGATGAAATATTTGAAAAAACTCGAACATTGTAGTTATTACAAACCTAAAAAAAGTCTTTGTAATACCAATCAAACATTGTTCGTGCCACATGTTTCCTGTTTTATCAGAAGTTTTGTCCAACTTCCAAAAAAAATATTGTAAGGGTCAAATAAAGCTTGTGAGCTTCTTGAAATCGTAGTTTGTGAGTAATCGTAGTTGATAAGTTTTCTGTCTTTTCATTGTTTGATTTTATATCTACATTTGGCATTAAATCAATTTTACAATGTATTTGGGTTAATAAAACTAAATCTAGTGCAAGAACCTATCCAGTGGGAAAATCCAGTTTAATGTTTGAGAAGAGTTAGATTTTGTACATTTAATATATAATATCATTTAATTAGAAAAATCAGAATTTTCATGATATGATTTGATTTTATTGAGCTTAGCAGATGTACAAATGATTATACAAAGTGAACATGTATTGAAGGCAATGTAACAAATGAATTCTAATGTAGGCATTTAAGAATATATATGGAATACAGAGTATTTTTATTAAGATTGAGAAGCAATAATAAATGCAAATTTGTCTTAGAATATATTATGTTCATAGAACGTTGTTTAGTTTGAACAACGCTTTTCATTACAAATAGTTAGGAAAAACAATAATATAATATATTTATATTTATTATATAATTAGCATTATAAAAACATAATACAATTTGCATTATGTAATTGTTAACATACGTAAAATTATTCTGTACTGATAGATTTATATATTTTTACGTTTCAGAGGCTTCTGAACATTTTGGCATACTTTAGAAAAAACGGATGTGTTTATGTGTGCGGATACAAATTTTCGTCGAAGATTTTGCAATTTGAATAATTAAAAAATATTCAATTCATAATAATGAGGAGACGTGGTGATTAGTTTTTGGCGAAGGCAGGTCTAGCCGTTTCGGAGATACGGAGCAAATAGTGCCAAAAATGGTATTTCAGTTTTTGAGATAACGGAGAAGTCCGTTGATTTGAATAATTCAAAAAACATTTTACTTGTATTGACAAAATGAACATCTGGTAAAATTTTTGTAAAGGCAGGTCCAGCATTTTCGGAGACCCAATAAAAAAGTAAAAGGTAATGCCACTTGGCAGTCAAAAATGAACATTAGACAGATGCATAGTTTTATCAGATATTTTATAAATATTATAATAATAATTACAAATTTTGTGTATATTTATATGGGTTCCGTACCAATGTTTACACGTTGGACGAGCTATGCAGCGTGATTGCTTGAAAAAAAATGTCTTAAAAATCTAATTTACTCAAAGTTTTGCAAAGTTTTTTTTAATAATTTAGTTTTTGGTACGGAAAGTTCCAGCAATTTGCCTCAAGGCACGATGCCATGCTCCACTAGTTTATAACCTGTTGGACTAATATTTCAAGATTAGTATCCCAAACAGAAACAAGAAAATTAAAAGATAATTTTTACTGCAAGAACTTCAAGTAAAATCTTCCTTATTATGTGTACAATGAAACCTGTTTTGCCTAAAAAATAGGCAGCAGTAAGATTTCTGTAACAGAGATACAGTCCAAAGCTCAAAGATGCACATACTATTCTATAATACATCCTTTAATTATTGCAACTAAAGTTTAAATTTATTCATAAAATCAGAACAAATAGATTTTGCAATAATCGTAGAGAATTCCAACATAACATTCATCATAAAATCTATTTCAATAAGGCACCTCGATAAATCCACGTGCCGGGAAGTAAAATGAAACGCAAAGTCATAAAACTGGAAAATATAAGTTGAGCTTGACAAACAATATGCAGCAACACAATTGATGTTTCATAAACGCTTCATACTAACTTTGTTGCTTTAATTTAAATGCGAGCTTACGACAAATTCCCGAAGATAAATTTAGTTGGAGTTACAGTTTTGGCAATGATCGAATATTGAATTGCTCTTTTTTATTTCAGCGATTATGTTAAAGAATCCAAATGACTTGAAATGGAGCAAATTGATGAAACAAATTTATAGCTCGTAAAAACAGTAAAAGTTTATTCTTGCATATTAAATGTCCATTACCCGACGAAGGAAAAGGCTTAACTCGTGTTTGAAACTACTTAGGACCCAAGGAGCTAAATGACTCCCAAGGTGATATAAAAAGACCATTCGCAGACTTCTAGAGTACTACGACGTTATAATAAATAGATAAGAAATTGGGATAAGCGTGTCTAAGTAATAGGTTTGAAATAAAATTTATATCAAAATATATATTCTAAGAATAAGAGAAAAAATTTCTGCTTATTTAAAACATAGGATTTATTCAGAAAAACATGTTATCTTAAGGTCTGAATCATTTAAAGTGTTATGTTGGAAAATCATAGACATTATACTACATGGACTGCTAGTCCTCACATGTTTTAACTTGTATAAAGTGTACAGAGATAGAAGAGACTGTGACATCAATGGCTGAACGAGCGTTGCCGACAATCGTCGGAACTCCCCCGATTAATTAAATGTTATATGTCATATGTTTTATTTTAATAATATAATTGCAATTGTGATGACTGATAATTTTGTAAGAAATGATATTAATAATATTTAATAATATTCAATCATAGGAGTTAATGTTATTCCAAAATTTTTAGTTTAATTACTAGTATTATTTCAGTAAGGCAATTGTGTAGACTGATAAATTTGTAAGAAATGTTATTAATAATTCCCATGTAAAATAAATGTACATAAATTCGAATCCATCTGTTAAAAACGGTTTATATATTATAAGGTCTATGCATATGACGTTTAATCATTCGAAAGTGTTCCAGGAACCACTACAAAGACTAATTCTTTCTCTTCACGACAATTTAACAATTTCAAGCACACGATTTAATTTTAGGTTGGACATGTGACATATGACATATGACATTTAATCAATCGGGAGGGTTCTACTATTGTCGGCAACGCTCGCTCAGCAAGTGAAGTCACAGTCCCTTCTATCTTTATGCACTTATTTTGCGCTCGACTAGTCGATGTAGTTATAAGGTGTATGTGAAAAACCCATACTGAACTATTTTGCCGACAATTTGTTGTTAACTGTATAAAAAATAAAACAAATTGCTTTATCAATTTTTATATATAGCATTTTACTTAAAACGCTAAAAACAGAACAATTTTTATATGATCATATGTCCAATTTCTCTTATAGTAGCGGGTCAATCGTCATTAATAAATCAGTTGAAACCACTTTTTACACAAATCTATGGCGTTTAGTATCGATTGTAGCTTTACTATCAATTATTTAACAACTAATGTACACCCGCCTGTCTCTTCTATAAGCATGCTAAATTATTTATCGAAAACCATTAAATTACTTCCATGCTAGACTTTTTAATCGAACATATTGGGTTGAAAACGCCAATATTAATAAGAATTAAAAACAAATTAAATATTTAAAATGTTATTAAAGTTCAACGTACCTGGTTTTGTAGAAGTGAAGCGTACATCACTATAATAAAATGTCCTTTAATATCTGAAAATAAAAATATGATATATTAAGTACTGTTTGTTAATAAACCATTTCATAAAGATATATAATAAAAAAAATTGCATAGTAAACAAAACATAATATTGTATATCTTTATATATATATATATATATATATATATATATATATATATATATACATATACAGGGCCGTGCCTGGGTATGTGGCCGCCTGCGTGCGAGAATTTTTTGGCCGCCCTTGAAAATAACATAATAGGAAAATATCAAATATGTTCTCGACTTGTAATTTTTATATTTTCTTTATGTTCCTAGTCATTCTGAACCGTTCGAGACCAAATTTGTAACTAGCTGTAAGTGGAATTCTCTCTTGAGGCAATTATGGCATCGTGCCTTAAGGCAAATTGCTGTAACTTCCCGTACCGTAACGAAATGTTCGAGGAATACTGAATGTTTTCAAATAGATTATTATAAATATTGTAACATTGTCTAATATTTATAAGAAGTATATAAACTGAATTTGCTAATTTAAAATTATTTGTTTAAGTTATATTAGAACTTTAGTCAGAATAAAAATCTGAATTATTTTCGATATACAAAAAAACTAAGACTAAAAAAAAAAAAAAAAAAAAATGGAACCAAATTTTTTTTTCCAAAATCAATTATTTTGTTAAGACAAGCAGAAAGTTCTTTGAATCATTCAAATCGGACGCTTAGTTCTCTCAAAAACTACCATTTTTTACATATTTAGCACCGTATCTTCAAAATAGCTGGGCCTGCCTTTGCCAAAAACTAATAAACACTTCTCCCAATCATTACTAATTGAATGTTTTTTAGATCATTCAAATCGGATACTCCGTTCTCTCTAAAGTTTTTGAAAAAATTGTATTTAATAAACTAATTCCATCGATAAAATCTTTAATTTCTAATAATTAGCATGGTTTCATGCCTGCTCGTTCCACAACTACTAATCTAATATGTATTAAACAATTTCTAGCTGAGAATCTTGACATTAACGGACAAGTCGATGTAATTTACACTGATTTTAGTAAAGCTTTTGATAAAATAGATCATAATATTCTTCTTACTAATAATTATCTAAAATTGGTTTTAATACTTCACTTACTTATTTCTTTAAAAGCTATCTTCAAAATCGTAAACAGTTTGTTTTTCTTAACGGATTTTTAAGTAACTTTGCAACTGTCAGCTCGGGTGTGCTTCAGGGGTCCACCCTTGGTCCTCTTTTATTTAATATTTTTATTAACGATATATCGGAAGTAATTAATTGTTCTCATCTATTGTTTGAAGATGATCTCAAGTTATATCTTAAAATAAACTCATTAGATGACTGCCTAGTATTGCAGTCTCAACTAAATTCAATTTACTCCTGGTGTGTTCAAAATAAACTGGATCTGAATATTTCTAAATGCAAAATTATTAGCTTTACAAACAAGCGCGTTCCGACGCATTTTGATTATAAAATTTCTGACACCTGCATAGAAAGGTGTGATAAAATATCTGATTTAGGCATTGTATTTGATTCTAGTTTGACTTTTACAGATCACATATCTAATATATGTAACAAGGCGTAAAAATCATTAGGAATAATATTAAGAAACTGCAAACAATTTGAATCTAATTTGTCACTAATTAGCTTATACTATGCAATTGTACGTTCAAAGCTGGAGTATGGATCGATGATTTGGTATCCTAACCATAGCAATAATTCAGATGCGATAGAGAAGGTTCAAAGAAAATTTCTAAAATATCTATATTTTAAAACGCACAAAATTTACCCTGAACGAGGTTTCGACCACAATATTTTACTTAATGCATTCTGCGTAACATCTCTTGCTACACGTCGTTTCACTGATAGTATTTTGTTCCTGCATAAACCATGTAATGATGCCATAAATTGTCCTCAAATTCTCAAAATTTATATAATATATATATAAGTTACTTATAAGTTATTTCAGACATAACATTAATTAAAAACTGAGTAATTAAGATATCACAGCAGGTTTATTGAATCCTTTCAATTTGGTCTGCCTTCGAGACCTTCTTTCAACGGAAAAACTAATAGATATCGTTAAAAGGATTACAAGATTCAGTGTAACATTCGTAGTATAATCTTATGATATTAATCATATAATCTACTTCTTACAGAAACACACTAGTACACATAATACTTATGTATTATTAATATTTAACCACTGTGTTTAAATTCAAGCAACTATTAGTTCGAACATTAAAGCCAAATTTGATCTAAATATAAGTAATAAATATGAGTGTACTAAATGTAAGTAATGAATATGAAAAATATTTAAATAAATGCACAAATAAAATGCGCAGTGTTCTTAAAGTTGAAAATCTGAATGTGAAGTCCACTAATACCTAAAAAACAAGTAAAGTTACAAATTTTTTAACAACAGTATTTTAAGTAGAGTAGAGCATTTTAAGTATACGTTTTTAATTGTTTTATAAGAAGTATTATTAATTTTAATTAAGTTAGATTCAACAGTGTATTTTATATAACCTGCATAATAGCTTACACGTGGGTGGGGTAAAAAATCAACTGAATCTTTACCCTGGCAAAGTTATAAACAATAAAATATATGAAATAAAGTAAATTAAGTTAAAAATGCTATTTTACGAGAGATAAATTAAATAAATTGTTGTTGCAACTCTGCTGATGATCAAGTTTATTTATGCACAGCGTTATCTCTGTAAAAAATGTAGGCACTCGTAAAATTTAGATTTTGCATTGGTTGAAGAATCTAGCTATTATTTTGTAAAATCCATAAATAAAACATTGGACCTGATTGCCCTCTGGTTATCTCATTATACCATGGGGTAAAGAAGACCAGGTGATAAATGAAAAACAGCAAAAAATGACATTCCTATGATGATGAATTATCTGGGAGTTCTACTGAACATAGTCAGATAGTTGTTTGTTGTTGTCATATAATTATCTGGAAGTTCTACTGAACATTGTCAGATAGTTGTTTGTTTGTTATTGTCATATAATTGGTTTAGTTTTCACAATATAATTGCCCAAAATCATATTGGACATTTGTGCCCCGCTCTACCCTAATTCAAACTAATAAAATAAAATAATTGGTTGTTAGTAAAAACAAATTCTTTGAGTAAAAATATATCATAGTAATACAAAAATATTTTTATTAAAAAGTTGGTATGTGGAATTTTACGATCGAACTGGTATGAAAACAAATCTATAAAAGCTCATATCTATTATATATACAATGCTATTTGCTCGTGAGAGTTTTCTCTTTGATATGCAAAATAATCTATTCGAGAATGAATTTTAAAAGGTTTATATTTTTCAAGCTGATATGAAAATTTAAAAGCGGAGTTTCCTGAAAATGTTTTTGAACAAATAATATTTTGGTATTGAGATGTGCATATCTGAAACAAGGTTTGCAATTATTTCATTATATTATGCAACACCATAATATTCACGCTTCGTCATTTTTGTTCTTCTCATTAGAGACTTGACGCTTCAAGGACTGATGTGGGAAGAATGGCATATTATTGCTGAGATAATACAATGCACATGTTGATCATCTAATAACTTCCTCAAATTGTTAATCGTATTCGATAAGCAGTAATTTTATCTGAAATGAAACTAAATTTGGCTTAATCTAACCTGGTCATTCTATTAAACAATATTTTATATTTTACTAGAACAAAATATTTTACCAGAGCGCTTGGTCTGATGTTTTCACTCGTTCTTAATTTTCTGGACACCAATCTAATTGGGAACCGTTATTCCGTTATGGTTACACATTCGATTTGGATATAAAAACTTGGAATTAAAAGTTTCGACGAGTCATTTTCGTTTTGCTACAAAAAAAGCTTTTTACATTTCAAATTTAACGCAGATGTTAATCAGTTAACTGTGGCGCTATCATGATATAGTACGCTTAGTTTTGTGTTGTCCGAGTCGCTTATGACGAGTATATTCGTCAATCACAGAGTAAGTTGCGCTGATAAGGTATCGAGCAAAAAAAAAGTTTTCTTTTACAAAATTGACAAATATTTTTACTACAGTTTACCTCTTTGTCAGCATAAGTATGTAGGGTAGCTAGGATCTATTTGTAACAGCGGTAACTAGCAACATACATGTTCTTTCCTTTTTTTATTAATTATCATCAGAACATAAAAAATAAATTCTATAAATTATTTTTATTTACATTATTTACATACAATTATAGATAGTATTTACTCCAGTGGGTAAATACTATTAGGTACAATTTATTGGATTAAGTTAATTGACTATAATTATTTACGTCTTCTAAATTCTGGTGCAAGAAGCAGCAGAGCAAAAAGCGGATTGGGATGGTTTTCTAATTTGTGATGGTGATTGGTCGATCTTGTTTTTAAAGAGTCTTCAGTATATAGCACATTAAGATCATCGTGAAGAGTTTTATTGCTCACGTACCATAGTGTGCCTGTTATAATTCTAAGTTTTTTTGGATTGTGTACCAATGCAGCATTTGACTTGCTAGAGCATCCCCATAGCTCTATCTCGTATGACCAAATAGGAATAATTATTGTTTTATAAACCAGTATCTTATTTTCTAGTGCTAGTTTTAAATTTATCCTATCAGCCAATATAGTTTTCTCACTTTTGATTTCATAGATTTTTTTTTTTGATGTGATGTTTCCAGGTTAGTCGTCGATCAAGAGGAAATGGCAAACAACATACGTATTTCAGTAAGACTTTAAACGACAATAATTTTTTTTTGTCTTGATGGGATATAAAAACTGTCCTGCATACTATTGTCATAGCTACTGTCCCGGAAGACGATTCAGTAAACAGAATTGTGCAGGTGCGTCTTTTATACAGGTAATATGAAATTGATCTATCATAAAATTTCGGGTTGCGTTATTATTATCTACTAATTTTAAATTTCATATATCTTATTTCATCTCAAATTCATCAATAGTTGAAAATATGCAACAAATTTTGTGATTGCTAAATTGTTTCATTAGTTATCTTGATTA